ACCGATGAACCTCTGGGACTTTCGTGCAGCATTCCTTTAACTGAAAGGCATGCGCCGAAATTTGTAGGATCTGAAAGGGATGATTATAGCGTCCGAAGCCATGGGAATTCGGTTGCATGCTTTGTCCAGATCGACTTTCGATAAAAACATTTGTATTTTTTACGGTGGCTGTCAGGCCTTGAATGCGCAACAAGGGGTAACGATATGGAGTCGTTTCTGTATTCAGTCATCGACAATCACCAGTTGGACACCAACCATTGCTGTTTTTTCTAGGGATTATGCGCAAGGGAGATACCTATGTGCTGTTCGCTGGTTGAATAGTTTCTGAATCTACCACATACCCGAATGAGTTTATGACGGGTCCTAGCTTCTTCGGAGGTAGTCAATGCGCTTTCAAAATTACAGGTGATCTTGTGGTCGTGATGTGGTGTTCAACATTGTTGGTTACACACAGTATTTTCTGTCTCATTTTGTAAGTTCGTTCTACTCGTAGAGGACCTTTTGAAAGTGTTGATTGGTTTTGCACTTAACCTTGACTGCATATAACCTATAACCAGAAAATGAAGTTCCACTAACTGATAACTTGATATTTCAATTTGCTAGCCTGTGTTTACTCGGGTTGATGAGTAGATTATGGTGTTGTAGCAGGTTTATACAGATGATTGTCATAGAAACATCTACAACAACGAAAACCCAATGAATGGATTTACGTAAATCCACGTTAAGATAAACATATCGCACGGTCGCCAATCGCCTTCATTTTCCTGTGGAACCATATGCAAAGAGGATGCTCAGTGACTATCAGAAGGACGGATAATACTCAGATCTAGCATGCAGTCGAATTCCGTCCTAGAGATTTTAGTTTTATCTGGTGCTAGTCTCCTGGGTTTAGCGAGCACAGGAGCCTCTTCAGTTTTGATCGTACGACTTGTCTTTAGTTTACTTTCGAAAGACTAAAGGTCGGTTTGGTTAGGTTTGGAAACTCCCTGAGTATATCCCGGAATGTACCACTTTTCAATCCATTTCAGCTAGGCACATAGTTGACTGCACCTGTTTGATTCGACACCTAACTTCCAGTGTTAACAACAGAGTTATCAAGATTGTCCGGACGTTTGTGACCTGTTCTGTGATTTGTATCTCGGTCGTTGTGGTGACTTGTTATTTCCCCATAATCCATCTACATTTCGGCTCGAGTCTCTGTGAGACGGTTGACGCTCCCAATGAGTTCTGCTATGACTTAATCTTTTGATGATTCTTCTTTTTGTGTATGATGTATCATATGTGACCCAGGCGGATTGCCTCCTTCCATTATTCTCCTTGTAATACGCTCTAAGCGAGATAAAAGGGTGTTTGGGTCTTGAGCATGTTAGAGTTTTTAACCATCCTTGTTTTAGGACTGCTTCACTTACTGTGTTTTCACCCATCAAGAGTTGGAGGTGACATAAGAACTGGGACGGTGACCTGTCATCCAATGTTTTCCCTTAAAAAACACTTGGATTCTGTGAACATTCGATACGGATAGATGGCTCATTATCCCTCGCCTTAAAGCGGCGTATGGTTGTGATGTTAGTGACCACAAAACTAAGTTACGGAAGTCTTTGGTGACTGAATGAGGGTGGAAAGAGCATAAATGTCGATTGTTCATTCCTTCAGATTGAATATTATAACTTGTCATATAATTCTCTAATTGAGCGAACCACATTTCGGTTTTACTAGGTTCAAATTCATGGAGTCGGAAGATCGTAGTGTCTATTTCTACTCATGACAAATTACATTAATCCTCCAGGTATTCGGTTTGAGTTGAGTATGACATGTTGCATATGAACAATATATTAATATATTTGAACGGGGCAAAATAATGTCTCTAACATGAACGCTTTGCGATAAAAGAACAGTTTATGTAAACACGTATATGTTCAAAATTTATGTTAGGGATAGTCAGAAGGTTTGTTTTTGCGACAAAGCAAAAAGTAACAATAGGCCGGACAGAATACAATCCTTATTATTGATAATGTCGTTAAATGGTGTCCAATAATATCTATAAGATAATGTACGTCGAATAAAAATGATGACAATAGTAATCGAGAACTATATTTATGGCTCAAAAAATAATAGCAATCCAAACAGAGACAAAGTTTGTTCTTTTTCTCAAAAGCTGTTGTTTATTGATTGAAATAGATACGTTGAATTCATTTGTTTAAAGTGTAGGGTGCTGATGGTTCTTCATCGACGTAGTCTGTTGCGTTAGGTTCGTGGTGGGGCTCATCTTTTCGGTAGCCTTGTTTCTGACTACAATTAAAAAATATTATGATTGTTATCGAAATATATAACCCCGCTACCCTCGTACATATTTATCCATCTCATTAATGCTAGGGGATGAAGGAATAAAACAGACCAAATGCGAAAACGAATCTTAGATACATATATTTCATGCATTGATTAATCTCAAAAGAAAATCAGGGAAACAAAGAGAATGGAACGAAACACTGCGAAGCGGAGAATGTTGTTAGGACGCTAGGCTGAGCCAACTCGATTTTATCAAGCGTAACTCAATATCTATAGCCAGGCAAAAATAATTTGCGGACAATTAATGAATGGAGTGAGCAGTTGGCACACATCCGCTCAAATATCAGCGGTCAGGGTTATTGAACGAACAGTCAACAAGGTCAAAGTGTGGATTGAGAAGGATTAGTGAGTTGGTCTGTCCAGAAGCTAGAACAACCTATATGGGCTTGATATAGTGCTAGTTACTATAGGTGTTATGGGTAGAAGTGCCATCGAACTCCGAATATCTGTGGCACATGTAGTCGAAACTGATGTAACCTGAATTCTGTATAGACTTCGTGAAATATTAGATACTCACCCTATCCGACAGGATATTTTCAAAACATAGCCGTTGAGTTATGTAAAGATTATCGATGGGGATCATACGGAATACTTACAAAATAGTAGCACTAGTCTATATATCCTATAGGCGTTAACAAGACATGTATATAGAGTCAAATATGAAGCAACGCAAACAAATTATTGAAGGACGTGAAGTATTTATTTTTCAAGAAAAAACGTGTTATGAGGAACTATGGCGGTATTTCTGCCGGATTAAGATGTAACAGTTCGATCACCAAGCAAAAGACAGCAAGAACTTTGTACAAAACTTGTGCAACCAAGCTGTAATAAACTTGGTTGGTTTTGGAATGTGCTGAAACCTCCGAAGATCTCGGAATGATCTACTTTTAAACGGTGAAGAAGTCCATAGACTGCTAGATGGCCGGATGATGCCCAGTTTTACCATATGTTCTGATCCCCTCTTTGCAATCTTCAGCTTGTCCGAAAATAGGTTAAGCTATTTGGCGCGGATTGGTGAACCCGTGGTAGTTATGTGGTGTCTAATATAGTGTGAAGAGCATCTATTTTGGTAATCAACTTTTATATGCACTTGAGCTCTGACAGAATATCGGTGATAACTGTATTTGTCGGTCTAATCACGTAAGTATCGTAAATTTCACAATTAGCAGTTGTAGCACTCATCTGCATGCGAGTGTTCCTGTCAACCAGTTTCTTACCATTCATTTCACCAGTAAATTATAAGCAATAAGAAAATCCGCTCCAAGAATCGGTTGCTTCACTTGTGCAACTATGAAAATCTATGCAGAATGTCGACAAAATCTGAAGTTTAATATTAGAGACTGACTGGTGCCTTCAGTTTATCATATGGGTCTTGTTCCGGCACTTGATCGGTTTAATCACTGAATTTTGCAGCGATCTCGATCAGAAGGACGCTTGTGACCGAATTCCTTGGGCTACAGACAAAGCTTGTTCTTGTAACACATGTGGAGGACCAAAAAGCATAATAACCAAAATTTATAAGTAGTTAGCAACTACAACTAAAACGGCTTTAATTAGAGATGTGGATGCCGAAAAGCATGTAAACGTCGATAGTAAATATATCTAAGTTCTGCCGCCGTAACAACAGATAATTGAGGACAAGAAGAGTATGTGTACAGAAGTGTATTTGTGAGCAACAATCAATGCGTCGTGTACAAAAACGGAACAAAAGATCAAAAGTCATGTTTTTGGACAACAGTTTTACAGTCAGTAATGGTAATTGTACAAATAATGAGAATTAGTGAAAAATGAAAATAATAGCGAAATAGCTGATTACAAAATAAGTCATACGTTGACACCGCTGGTTTTCGTCTCAGTGGTCTAGAGGTTAGGCTTCGTGTGCGAGACCGAACGTGCTGGGTTCCAGCGCCGTACGCAGGATTGTGGGTGCACACTGCTGAGGAGTCTCTCACTGGAACGAAACGGCCGTCCAGTGCTCCCAGGTCTTCAGTGGTTGTTAAGCCTAGATCGACACATGAATTCAACTGTTGAAATTACTGAAATCTCCACGATCTCAGTTCTGATCAAAATAATTGCATGTTAACTACCTCCACAACATAAAAACAATGGATCTTATAGTCTTCCTGTCCACTGAACGAGAATTTGGCGGTGTTATCATTAGAAGTTGAATATTATCAGTCGGTTACGGGTAGTGCTGAACAGCCTCAACTTTATGCTACAACGGATATATATTTTTAATCAGGTTTCAAATCAAACAGACCACAGAGTATAGATACACAAAGTCAAACTTTGTAAAACATCGCCGATATAGACCTAGCACATCTGAAAAGCATAGAATAATCACAAAGATAAATAATATGGCATACTGATCATAATCATCATGAAGTTCAGGAAACTTATATTGTTCACAAGTTCATTGAATATTGAATGTAAATAAAAAGTTGCTTTACCAAGAGCTATTTGATAAAAAGTATGATAAAAATGGCAGGCTTTTTCTCAGATTTTCAAAATGTTTCAATAGGAGAGGTTAATTAACTTTGTTTAAGTAGGTTCTAATCCGCTACTGACGGTGCTTGTTTTCACTGTAAGGTCGGTTGTTGTCATTTATCAATTTGTCTAAGTAAACCTAGTTGTACATATTGTACATAGACACTATGGACAGTAAGGTGAATTGCAAGGAACATGTTCTTAAGGTTAACAACCATGAGCTTGTTGATAATGGACATACTAGCTACTTCTCTAAAATGCCCCCTGCAACAGCAGAACAACTGACAATCGCAAAAGTTTTATCTAGGCCAGATAACGATGTAAATATCCGGTGCTACGTTGTTCAGGTATGTTGCTTCTACAAACAGACTAGAGGTTTCAGCTTCAAGAGTTAACTGAGTGTACAGAAGACCAAGCAGTCACTGCATTGTATGACTGCGAAAACAATATTGAGAGAGCAGTTGAGCTAGTTCTAGATCAGTTCCGCTGTGGTGCGACAGAAGAGTGGCACACAACTGTCAGCAAGCGTGGCAAGACGAGGCACTCCCAGTCGGTAGGTACTTAGATCTTATTAAGGAATCTTGTAGGCACCAGAACCCGGGCCAGATATGACAGCACCTCAGAAAAAAGCTCCCAAACCGAAACTAGAAAAACATGTTGAAAATCAAGATAAATTCTCAGGACAAAACGTTTCGGTATCACCTCCAGTTAACGTCACCAAAGTACCTCGAATAACTTTGTAATTTTTTTTTAGAATTCAAACTCTCACCCCGAAAAGTTCAAGAAACCAGGCACAAAGAAAAAAAATCCACATAGAACAGATGCAGTCGCTAGTGACCGCGCCTTCATTCCACCACAAAGTCGTAGTGATGATGTGCTGTGTAACAGTTCGAAGCAGTTACCAGAAAGAAAAAGTAGAGTTGAGTCTGAGGGTATGTTCGATTAATTGTTCAACTTGCATTTAGCATGGGATCCGTACGCTGACTGTGGCGAGTGGGAAGGGGATTCAATCGAAATAGTTAATTCAAATGCATCCATTGCCATGGGTCTGCAGGAAGCAGTATCCTTACCACCAGAACTTTTCCATGACAGTCCAAGCTGTTCGGAAAAGTAAGTCTCACCTCGATTATTATTTTTGAGTTTTTAGAAACTTAAACGCGGATTACAATCCGCACGTTGATGATGTTCAAAACCTAACTAAAGATCCAGATGCTTTGGACGCAGAAGCATTGTTTGCGTCATTTGCCAAAAGTAAACCACCTCCTCGCGCGTTTACTGGGAAGCTAGAGACATCATTATTTTTTGCCCCGGAATTGTTGCCTAGTGAGCAATTTAACTGGAAACCGACTTTCGGTGGTGAGTGTCCTGGTTCACAGTTTAATACCAATACAACTGCAATTCTGAGTCCTGGACAGATTAGCAATAATACAGACGAACCACTTCGGTCACAAAATGACTCTCGAAATGTCCAAACATCCACGGACCGACCTGATTGCAGTCCGAAGCAGTTTTCGTTCCCACAAATATCCCAACAATCACATTCCAGCGATTTTGAACTTAAGAACGCGTCATTAGGCGTTCTCTTAGATCCTCCACCTAAAACAGAGGAGAAGATAAGCAGTGTTCCCACTGACTATCCATCGCGACACTACGATGAACAAATGGTTTCCAAAGTAGCACTTTCATATCCGATAAATCATAATAAACAGACACCCTCCATGGTTGCCAGAACTACCAGTGATAAACCCAGCTATTTGGAGCCAAATATTAAGAACTATCTTTTGGATGGTCTGCCGGATAACATGAACAAAATGAACGTTGGAGAGGTCACTGGACAAAGCACAAAAGATCAGTTTTTAATTCAGAATAATGCACAATCATCTCTAGCCCCCTTTTCTCATGGTCAAAATGAGCAGCACATGATTCCTCACTTGAATAAAATACCCGCCTCGCATGCTAGCACCCACGTATCTGGGCACACACAACAAGTTAACAATTCTCAGGCGACTCATCTTCCTCCAGGTATGCCACACTTCATCAGTCAGTTTGCTCCACCTGCTTATCACATGTTCAATTTACCAGGCGGTTCTAGTACAACTCCTGCTATTTTCGATCTTGATCATTTGCAGCTCTTGCAACAACAGAGGATGCTTTATGATATGCACTTACAGCACCAGGCTGCCACTACCGCTCAAAGTCTTCTTACAGCGAATGCAGATTCCTCAGCATCAGCAAAACCCGTCAGTCACAATTTATCAAATCCGATGGGTCATGTTACTGCTCCAAACACAGGAATGCGACCGGACATGCTGACAACTGCACTTGGGCACACTCCACAGATGATGACACCTGGACACCCTTACTTTCCTTATCCCGGTTTTGTCCTCATGGTAAGTTCAGTATTAACTTTATTCAGTTCATAATTGTTCAAACTACTATGCAATTGCTTCATAGAAGTCAGTCTATTGCAAATATTTTGTGCTCTATAAGCATTTGATAAACGCTTTCCCTTGGTGAAGCTGAGGGAGTGTTTTAGACCCAGATTTATAGTACGGTGTCATTTTTGTGTTCCACTTCGTTTTTCTCCAAAATACTACACACCCAGATGTTTATCTCTGCACTGGGTGGGTTATTGTTTTTACTACTTTTTTTCTTCTCCGTGACAGATTTTACCTTCCGTGTTTGAAAGATTTTATTTATTTGAACACATGCCGGTACAAGGGGGCACCAAATACATATGCGCCACAATAATCTCATTTGATTTATGTGAAAGCTGTGATACTGCCCGTGTGCCCAATCCGAAGCAGGTAGTTTTTTAAGGGGCCACACCCGGAGCCTTTGATCTAAAGGTCTGATCCACATGGCAGTGGAGCATTATAAGGAGATGCAGTCCCATGGTGGTCGGTAACCAACGATTGATTCATACGCCACTTGTTCCTTCAAAATCCTGGAGCTCATGTGCAGTCAGGATTATCCAACTCTCCTAGGTGGATTCTCCATGACCGTCAACCCGGTCAAACTGTCGGACATTCGCCTTTCGTCCTCTCAATTTCGTAAACAACACCCCCGCCACGAAAAGGCAGTGAGTAAGACTTCCCCGGCAGAGGCTATATACTCGTGGTCATGTGAGAGCATTTCGAGAGGGAGAGCGGACTCTCCCCACCCTCGGCCGTACCAGGGCATTTGAGGGCATCTGAAAAACCACATAAATATTTATCTGACAGCAATAAGATGATTCCAGTTGTCTCCAATTGAATCATTTGGATAATCGGGGTCCAAATGTCTGGTTTTAGGTCTAGGGTTCTTAGTGATTTTTGACCAAATAACTATTGTTCTTGTTAATCATAGGCAGTAAAAGTAGGCCCTGATTCGCGTGTTCATCGGTTGAGTTTGCCACATCAAAATCGCCTAACAAGCGAAAAAATGATGAGAGGAATACTGTTAACTGCGACAGGAGTGTAAACGGAAAAAACCGCATTTCAGGATGAATAAATAGTATCGAAACAAAAAGGTATGAAATGACAACCTAAGGCTAAAAAAGGATAATAATTGCAACTGCCTCAGAGCAATCGACTTTAAGCCATATTTACTCACGTTTCCAGGTATGGGTTACTACCATCCTGTGAATTTATCAAAACGGATCCAACGCATAATAACAGCTAGTGACTTTACATATATTGTGTCTATTAAACATCTTTTCAGTCTGCTGTACCAGCTGTGTTGTACGTCAGAGCAGATGTTTGTTAGTCATGCGTTACGCGCTCCGTAGGCATCTAATTCATAGGATCACCCAGAAGACCTACTTGCCATTACTCCCTGATAAAATGTGACCAAAACATCGCCCACTCGGTGATCCTCTAATTTACGGGAAGGGTTTCTGAAAAATCCGTGATCGAATACTTACTACCTACACATTTCTTGTGTTTCCGTTGACCGTACTTTACAGCTTCGGAACAATACAGAGTAGGCTACTGTAAACTACAATGACAGGTGTACATGTATTCCGGCTAAATTATCTTCATCGACTGGCCAGTTAGAACTAAAGTAATTTTCAAGATAAGTGAACTGGTAGACTGCTTCTTTCGGTTATCCAGCTGGGTAGTTGTATAAACCAGTCCTAAGTCTTAAACCCATCTCTACTTATTATCAATGATGTTTAAGAGGCTACGTCATGTCAGCATCTCCACTAAACAGATTTGGATTTTGCAAATATTTTGCTAGATTGATCCCTAAAATGTCAGGTAAAGAAAGTGGAGAGCCCTATCGACCGTCAATTGGGATGGCCAATTCAGATGACAGGTTGCCATATGCTCTTGATCAGTAGAATTCGAAACGTTGATATACTTTTTATGCCTTTAAATGACAGCGACTACCATAAATCATGTTGATCAGAAAAGGCAAATGAAGTTTTAATGTTAAGAGCGTCGGTTTTCTTACACCCATAAACTTGACTTGGAGTGGATATTTAGTCAGCTCACTCATGTCTAAAACCAGTTTAGTTTTACCGCGGGTCACTGTCCACAGCCTCCAGTTTAGCATTAGGCTGTTTTCGAAGCTAAGGTTTCGAATACAATATTGATAAGATTGATTTCTCTGTAGCTTTCATAAGAGGACTTTTGTCGTTCCTGTAAACAATCAGTACTCTTGAAAAAGTTATTTCACGAGTCTAGGCCTTCTCGAGTCATATCTGTCTTTTCTAATAACATTGACACTGCTACTAGTACTACTCTGGCACCTCGTCCTGACGTGTGGTAACTCAAAGCCACACACATGTGCCAAGTTGTACGTTGAGTTTGGTTGACTGAGTGTTCGCGACTAACCTGATAGAATTACCTACAGCTACCAGGTTACTAGTACAGTACCTCAATCAATGTAACTGTTGGCACTAAACGTCCATCCATAAAGGAGTTTGTAACTAATCCACCAAGGTTAGGTCTCACTGTTGAGAGTCTAATATCAACCTCACCACAGCCCTTGATGAAAATGGGTAGCTGGAAAGTACCTGTCCCTCAAAACATCCTGTCTTTCCGGTAGTTTGGTTTGAAAACATGTTTTTCAAACATAGTTCTACTGATAGATAACTTTAATTAAAGTTTTTAATGCTTCTACATAGTTGTGTAGGGTCACCTATTCTCACTACGTTCTCTGTTACCCGCTTCAATTTTCTTGGGAGTCTCGGCGGTCTTGAAGGTCTGGTGTTTGACGGAATTCGCTATGCTCTCATTTTCAGTTTTCTGTGTAATGAATCGTCATCTTCATCCACCTCAACCAAACTAGGTGCATAATTATGTAGGAGTGCACCAGAAGAAAACTAGAGGCGGACGAACCAAAACATGACATCAATCCAGTTCATAAAGTCATTGAGGATTAGACTTGTCCATGTTAACAGGTATCGACTACGTGGTTGGTGTCCACGTGATTGTCGTACCAATGGCTAGAGACTTTGAATGACATGGCTCAAAATCGTTCACAGTGGTCCAGGTGATCCGTTTGTTGTCTTCCCCCAAATTATGAGATTCTAAATTCATAATTTTTATTGCTATTGTTTTACTAATTTATATTTTCTCGAGTCGTATTTTTAATGCCTATTCTTTTATTTCTGCTGTTACTGTTACTACATCTACTATCCTGGGGTTTGATCTGAAAATTTCGTCCCACTGTTCTAATGAGGTCTGACAACTTTAAACGATGTACATACGTACCATGTTTAACGTCGTGACTGACTGCTGTTCAACAGCGTCAGCAGCGAATATGAGAATCGGTTTGATTATGTATTCTTTTGCATCTCATTTCCACGGTGTGTTCGAATCAAACGCGATTATGAACTACTATGGTACATACTTTTTCAACCTGTTTGGTAGGAATATCGCGTCCGTTTGCTTGCGAATAGACCTAGTCGCTCTTTCGAATCTCTAGATTCCAGGATAATTATATATAACCTAAAAACGTTCTCATCATTTTTGACATATTCACTGTATTATTACTATCTGTTGTTCAGAATGGTTATCCAAATCCATTTTTAAACCAACAACAACCAAATTCAGACAATCCCCAAGTTCAGAATCCTGGTCAGTGTGCATCACCAATTACCCAGCACCAATCCCAGCTAAACCAAGCTCAATCTTATAATAATCTCAAACAACTGGGCAATGGAGTTGGAAACTATGAAGATTTGTTAGATGTCAAGTATGGTGACCCATCCAAACAAGGTTTGTGTCATAAAACTAATTTTTAATTAAATGAGTTTGCTGTTTTGCGAGTTCCAATTACTTTCGTTATAAGCAATAGTCGACTGTATTGGTTAAAGGAATGCTATTTTATCAGTATACTTGATGAGCATGGTATAGTGGTATGTAAAAGTCGACTTTACTTTTTTTGTTTATGTACCACGCAGGCATAGTTTCGACCAGTTTAAACCACAAGTCAATTTAAACCTCTTTATTAATCGTCCTTAGCCGAAATAGAGCCTGGGAAAAATACTTGTCAGTTCGAGTTGATCGAGTTGCATACCAAATTAGCTAGAGAATATCAAATTATCCAAAATGATTGTAGTAGTACTAATAATGAAAAAAAAAACTTAACACTGAGAACATAGTTTAAAAGAAGTAGTGGAAAGGTATGTATGAAGGTTAACTGGGACGTAGAGGGAAGTTTATTAAATGCTCTTCCAGCATCATGACCAGTTCTGCACCATACCACCTAACTTTTCCAACCACTAGTCAGTTATCGTTCCCTAAACAACTAGTAAATAACCATTATTATTTTTCTGTTTCGGTTAAGAGTGATCCTTTATTTTATCTCTAAAATGATGCTAAGAGCAGACTAAATTTTACCTTTACTATAATTAAACAACTGAAACTACATATTTGTCACCTACTGTCACTTTAGTAATCCTTATAGTGATATTATAGAGCTAACGTATTTAATGTCATTCTATGGTAGGATGTTTATAATAAATCCATTGATTTGTAATTTACAACCTATGTATGTATATTAAACGATTTTCATGTTTTTGTATTCTAGTTGGTTTCAAAACCAGCTCAAACCCACCCAACTATAGTTCATTTCAATCTCAAGGAATGTCGTTAGATTCTGTCGGTGGAAAGTTATCTTCTGCCTCTCATTCCAACAATGGATCTCTGGTTCAGAACTTTAACCATGGAAATAGCAATTCTCATGCACAGCACTTTTCACCACAATTTTACGCATCTGTGTCGGGTTCGCCATACATGAACACAGTTGCTGCCGCTGTAGCTGCAGCAGCTGCTGCTAAACATGCACCCAATAACAGCTCTACTGTCAGTACAAATCAATCTAATCCAAATATCGGTGTTGCTACCAACCAATCTGGCGCTGTTACTGGGCAAAACCAAATACATTTACCTGGGAACCCGTCTCAAGGAATGGTCTTGGGTAATGCAGGTCAAAGTTTACATCACCAACGTGCTCCAATTCCACACGCACAACACTGATTTAAATGAATTACTGATAAAGTTATTATTACTGAGCTAGTTGTTGTCTGTCACTGCTTTGGCTAACCTTAAAACAAAGTTGTCCATAGAGTGGTTTTCTACTCGATTTCACTTAGGCGGTCGAGACATTTGCCTTTTAGATTTTTGGCATGTGTAAATATATACAAACGTCCTACCAAGATTATTACATTGAGACATGTTTTCTTCCCAATTTATGTTTCTGCGAAATGCTTGCATTAGGTTTCCACTTTAACTTCTTTTTCTTACCGATGTTCACATCCTCATACTTTGCGTATCTCTCATGAGCTTTCGTTTTTGTATCCATTATACTCGTTCAGCTTGATCCTAACAAATCTAAAGCGCTGATCTAAAATAAATTTATTTGACGTATCTCTTGGTTTTCTATTAGATTTTTAGTCACATTGCTGATTGTCGTTATTGGTTTTCAGGGGACTGCATAATGGCAAAATCTGTTTGCCTAAAAAATCCACATGAATGGCATCCTTATGTTTATCAATATGGGTATTATGATCCAGTAACAGTTGGTAGTATTGATGGTACAGATACGACTCCACATGATAGAGCAATTCAACGCGCCTTAACGTCATCCTATAGGAGTAAAGACCACGTTTTTAACTGGGATCCAAAGGTACACATCAATGTTTGACTTTGTAATTGAAATCGTTGCTTACACTAGTTTATTTCCTCAAGGTCGAACAATATCGAATAACATATACTTCTGTTTTTTCACAACACACTTCATGTTAGGGATTGATTATCTCTAAAAGTTCTGGTAATGTGTTGTTTCCATTTACTAGTAACTTGTGGGTCTTACGGGTACTTGATGTAATAGATCTGGTCAATGTGACTGGTAATTTGGATTTACGATATAAAAGGCTGGTATGTTGTACATCCGGGTGTTTACTGATAATAAAGGGAGATACCACAGCCAGGACTTCCTACTGATAGCTTGTAATCATCTAGTGCAATTGATTACAGTGGTTCTGTGTACGGTCAGTTCGGCTAATCGCTTTCGCAGCTTATGAAACGGTCATTGGGATCTGTCAGTTTACCGACTTACATATCTTCGCGATTCGGTTGTCACTCAAATTTCGGAATTAATCAAATTGATGAAGTGGATTGTGTGTTCAACGATGATGTTTCACTCAAAATTGGACGTGACATTACACGAGGTGTAGTTGGGATATGGATCACCATATTTTGCGATAAGATGTGGAATCTTTTCCATTCAAAACACCAAATACTATTTGTTTACATTGATGAATTTGGGAAACTGGACTACTTGTAAAAGGTTTGGTATTATACACACAGTCATGTATTCTTTATGCGCAGCTCTTATTTGTGGCTCAGGAAGCTAACGGGACTATTCCGTATTCAGATTTCTCTAGTCTAAATCACGATTTGTAAAGTCATTCATACCCACTCTTACAATACGTCGTGTTTATTCAAAACGTAATTGCTAGTGGGAATTGGTATAGTTTCGTGGGTGCACACTGCTGAGGAGTCCCATAATAGGGCGGAACGGCCGTCCAGTGCTTCCAGGTTTTCCATGGTGGCCTAGCTTCGATTGACTCTTGAATTCGACTATTCTATTGTATATCTTTAATTTCCACTTATTGGAAGTACTCGTTTGGCTCTGTAATGTTGTGACTGGTCGTTAGGGACTCAAGTATTTTTGAGTGAATAGTTTGTTCACATAGACTAGTTGAGTTGTCGAGTTAGCGTTATTGGCGTACTCGGACAATACAACGCCTATTTATGGTTAGTAAGTTGTAGTAACGGTATATAGAATATTCTCAATCATAAACCAAAATTCACCACGGATTATAGATCTTATAGATCTCTATTACGAGTGTTTCCTCATTTGAGTTGCTGGGTTTCGTTATTTGGTGCCTATTTTGTATCGACCTATTTTTTTATCTGTTCAGATTGTTATACTGAGGAAGGAATAATAATTGTTTGCTAAACCAAACGTATGAATGTTATTGTTGCCGTAATCATTACTGTTTACATCTAACCTTTTCTTTTTTATTGTTAATACTGAGGCTACAATATTTGTAGGAAGGCTACCCTATCATACTTCAAAAATTTGTTTACAAAAAGCACTGCATGAACTGTTGAATAAACACTTAGGAAATGATTTAAATAGTAAATCTAGAAAATACTGTCGTAGTCGTTCCCCATTTTCATGCGATGAAATTTGGCCAAAAATTCATCTTGTTCACAACATTGTTACTGGCTATCCATGTGGCTATGCATTTGCATATTTTTCATCGGAATCAGATGCCGAACGTGTACTGCGTGCTTGGCGTAATCAAACTACTGTTTCAACGAAATTATACTGTGGACTAAAAGATGAACGACACTGTGGTTTAGATATACCTAATGGTGATAAGGTTCGTTTCGATATAGTTTTATAGTGTTAATATAATGTATAATGTCACTGCTAATTCATTTTAATTTAAATGGAACTAAACAGTGGAGCACAGATTGTTGTAATTGAATTTGGAAAAAGCTTCGTGTATTTAAGGCTAGTGTCACTATTCAACTCATAATCCTGTGATTGAAAATCCATTTCTATAGCTACTACGTCAACCAATCTAATTTGGTGATTACTGAAGTGGAGGTTATCTTATGTTACGATATGACAAATGTTACTGTTCGTGAATAATTTCCTGTAGTAGCTCACTTATTATATCATTCAGCCTTCTTAAATTTTATAACAGGAATTGAAGAGGGAGATTGTTTATGAATACATTGATCTTGATTGACGTTAGAGGTATGAGGGCGGTTTGCATTTCCCGGTTGCTCACACCGTGAAAGGGTCTTTCTAGAGGTACTTGAAAAGGAAATTGGGTTAGAGGTGGTCTTGGTAACCTGAGAGCGTGACCGCAGTGCCCAAGGGACAACTGCTTGAGGTCGGTCACATACGACGTTTTTGTGAGTAATTTTTGTGTTAGCTCCGTACTTGTTGAGACCTTACCGCCGGAGACGGATATCCGTGGGATAAGGCGTGGTGTGCATTTTCAGGGTTGACCTTTTCTAACCACGACCCTCCTTGTGGGTAGGCAATATCGCTGTCATGCTGTTTGTCTGAAGGGAACACCTTACTGTCGTCACACCTCTGTATAGTCAGCAGTACGACTTCGCCTTCGGACCTTGGACCTGCTGCTTTTAGTCTTACCGCTCTTCAACTGACTAATCTGTCATGGTAGGACCTTGAGGAACGATTGTTCCAGCCAGTATAGTTCGATTGGTCCATGACGATAGACAAACCCGACCATCACTTCAAGGTAGCAGCAACGGTTGGGGTATGGCAACTTGGACCGATGCACATATGTGCCTTGTCCTACGTTGTAGCTGACTGACTGACTGAATAGTAATAATAAATAATGCGGATGTGGAATTGTGCATCATTGGTTTGAAATCATGATTTTGCAACTCCACTAGGTGGACCCCCCGCGAGGAGCTTGATAAAAGGACGGAATATGTACCCAGTGATTCTTGCTTTTCAATGGCTTTCTAACCCAGGTCAATGTAAACTACAAACTTGAAATAGTTGTCATCCTTCATCAAGCTTTTGTGTAACTGAAAACATGGAAAACTCATAATTATGTGAACTTATTTATACAATCTAAGTCAGTCAATCGTCTACAATGTAGGACCGGGCACATATGTGCATCGGTCCAAGTTGCCATACCTCATTAGCACAACAAGATCAACACAAAATTCATAGAAGTTACTTCAGTGGTAGTAATATATAAACGAAAGATTGCATATAAGGATATAATACAGGGAAAAAGAATTAGTTCGTAGAAAGAAAGATATGAAGCGACTTTAACCTCACGGTTTAAGGGAAAACAGAGAGTGTAAACACTAACGTTATTGTGATCGATTCTGAGCTATATCACTTAGTCTCCAACCATTGGTTACGACAGTCGCATGGATCCCAACCAAGTAGTCTGCATCTACCAACATGACTTAGACTAGACGTCAGTCACTTCAAGCACTGATGCCACGTTTTGGTTTGGCCGCCCCTAACTTTCTTACAACCATCCTCAACACTAATCAGCATTGTGCGTCGTGGTAATCGGTGTTCAGGCATACGCAACACATGGCCCAACCATCTCAGTCGATGAAGATTCACCACCTCATCAACTGATTTATTATCATTCCGTAATACCCTCCATCTAACCTCACTGTTACTTACCTGGTGATCCTAGCAGATGCTGGCAATATCTCTAAGGTATCTGTGGTCAAATATAAGTAACCTACGAGTAGTATTATTACTATTAAAACAATTGCATCCCTGCTTCGAGTTAATCAATTATTAAAAAGTATAAACATCTGTTGCTTTTTAATTTTCCCTGTTGGAATATTCATGGTCAGCTATCTTTTTTAATCAATTTATTTGTTTATTTGAACACAGATATTGGTAAAAAGGGGCACTGAATACATATGCACCACACAAGTCACTTGATTTGTATGTGGGCTGTGGTACTATCCGGGTGCCCAGACTGAAGCAGGTGGTTCCCTTAGGAGGCTACAACAGGAACCTTCAACCTAAAGGTCTGATCCACAAGACAGTGGAGCAACGTCGGAAGACGTAGTCCCATGGTAGCCGTTGACCAATAATTGGTTTATACGCTATTTGTTCCTTTACGATTCTGGAGCCCTTGTGCATCATTGGAATTTCGAGTGGGAGAGCTGACTCTCCCCACCAGGGCATTTGGGGGCTTTTTTAAACAAATTATTTTATCCTTTTAGCAATATAGTTTTGTCAAGATTTCTTGTTTTTTTAATGTAATTTGATTTAGAGTACTATTGAATTATCCGAATTTCTAGTAGATGGTCTTTACTTTTGAAGTTAGTCAAGTTAAAAAAAATTTTCATTTAATTGGGGGTTTGTTCTCTGAACTGGATGGTTTGGTTGTGAACCTTCCATTGTTCTTCTGAACAACGAATATGTCATTATCATAAAGGTCGAGCTGGAAGACGCCTACACTCTTGACAAAAACGTCTTTGATGATATGAAATTCACAATGGAAAAGGAGTCGAATAACAAGCCATCATTCTTGGATGTATTAATCACTAGAGCCGATACAAGAAAACTGGAGATACCTGGATTATCGGAAGCCGACCCACACAGATCAAATTCTCATTTACAACAATAACAACCCAATAACTAAAAAATCAACTGCGTAAAAATTTTATTCAGGAGGGTGAAAACACACTGCTGCACACTTGCACTGCGTAAAAACGAAGGAAAATATCCAATGACTAACCTTCAAAAGAACGGCTACCCAATTAACTTAAAAAAATATCAACCAGACTCACCAACAGAGACAAAATCGAGTACAGAAGCCGACAAATGGATCATCCTACCATATATAAATGACATCGGAAATCACAACGAGGTTATTGAAGCTGTTTGGAATAGGTGTAGCACACAAACCAACAAAATCACTTCAATCTATCCTATGCAAACCGAAAGACGAAATGACAAAAGAAGAAAAACCGAACATCATCTACAAAATAAATTGTTCCAACTGCGAAAAACACTACGTCGGACAAAGCGGATGACTCCTTTATCTCCTCCCACGAACATCAATTAGTAGTCAAAAGTCGTGACATATTCTCGCTTATATCAATTCATGTGTACATACATTCGACTGGAAAATTGTTGAGATCATAGAGACGGGGAATACTAAGAACATCAGAGAGTTTTTAGAAGCTTGGCACTCAGGTCAATCAACAAACATATTGAAATCGTTCCAATTTATCAACCAATCAGAAAAATTATGTACAAATATGGAGCCAAGAATCAGATCAAAAGGAGATACAATCCCAATAAAAAAGTAAACAGTGATAGGTCAAAGATCAATAATAACGAATGAAGATCGGGGTCTACAGGACAAGCTGTGAACCATATTTGGAGAAATTCGAACACTTCACTTCTATCTGAAGTTCGTGCTGATGATGTCGTTCAGAAGAACGATGAAAGCACCACGATTAAACCATCCAGCTCAGAGAACAAAACTCAACACATATCATCCACCTTAGCTACAAATCGCCCCCACCATCACTCCATATTTCATATAAATCGAGTTTTAAAATGTGAATTCAGGGATTTCAGTGAAGTGATCTAAGAAAATCGTGACTTCCGTAAAACTTCAATCATAGGATGGTTAATCATATTTTGTCCCTTAGAAGGATCTAACAACGTGAAGCATGGTGTTAAAAGAAACTCTATGGGTTACAGTAGTTCCTTACCTCTATAATATTTTCGTTCAGATTTTGATATTGTCCACTCATTACGTTTCCCTGTTTTTGTTTTATTGCTAAATCTCAGGTAATTTTAGAACCGTATTTTGGTGGTACACTGCCTGGTTGGCGACCACGTCGTCTTGGTGGTGGATTAGGTGGTCGTAAAGAAGCTGGGCAGTTACGATTTGGCGGAATCGCTCGGCCTTTTAGACGTCCGTTTATTGCAAATAATGCATCTTTGACAGAAAAGAAGTCAAAGTTTTGCAGAGATTAAGCTTTATTCACTTAAAAAATTATAATTGATTTACACATATGGTCATCGAAGTATTGATATGAATATCTAAGTGTTTTCATTTGTATTTCTTGGTTGTTATTTTTTCTTTAATAATTTTCTTACATTCTTAACATGGTTTTCGAATTCCAGGGAACCTGTAACTGGTATTACATGCAAGGGTCTTATTGGTAGAATAGTGAATGACTTACAAAATTGATTTTCTTCAACCTCCTACTACAAATCGTATTCATTTTTCTGTTAATATTCTGTATATAGGCATATTATTTTAAAACGAAATTCATTCTATTAGGCAACTGCATTGTTTTCGTATATCAGTCCAACAGAGGGCTCACGTCAATAATTCATTCTTGTAAGTAGCTATCATCCGAACGAATCATATAGTTGAATATTAGCATTTGTTCAGTGCATTCCACTCATTAACCAGACAATCACCAAACATATTTTGACCTGTACTGACAATCATCATGTGCTCATTAGTGACTAGCTTCAAGAGGTAATTCAGGAAGTTCTAGTGAGAAGCCGTGACCAGTAGGGCTCAACCGTATCCGGTGTGAGGCAGTTATCCGCTGAACATAATAGAAGATGGTCGCCCAATATTGTGGATTGGTTAGAGTTAGACATTAACCCCGTTGGATACAGTTCAGTGATCTAGAGGTTAAGGGATAGCGCATGTGATCGGAGAATCTTGCTTTTCTCTTTGTGTATATTGAAGCCTACTGCTGCTGAGGCTGCTGCTACACTGGTCGTCTTCTCCTGCATTTGTTGTTGCGTTTGGGATAGAAGAGCCAGATCATCTGCGAAGACTAGATCGTCTAACTGCATCCTAGATGTCCATTGTATCCCGTGTTTCCATTCAGACGTTGACGTCTTCACGATCCAGTCGGTCACCCGGAGAAAGAGAAAGGGTGAGAGTAAGCAACCTTGCCTGACACCGGTCTTTATTTCGAACGACTTTGTCAACTGTCCTCCATGCACTATTTAGCAGTTTAATCCCTCAGGAATTCTGTATGATATTGACTATCCTCTGAGGCACGCCGTAGTATCGAAGAAGCTTCCATAGTGTTGTTCTATCCACGCTATCAAATGCCTTTTCGTAGTCAATGAAGTTGATGTAGAGTGATGAATTTCATTCAATTGACTATTCCACAATGATCCGTAGAGTTGCGATTTGGTCTGTACACGATCTATCCTGTCTGTTAGTCTCAAAGTTGAGCGTCCACGGAGTCCATCCTGTTTAACAATACCCTGTTGAAGACATTTCCTGGTATTGAGAGAAGAGTGATTCCTCTGTAGTTATCATACTTGCTGAGATCGCGTTTCTTTGGTATTTTGACCAGAAGTCCTTCTTTCCAGTCTGTTGGTACTGGTTCCTCACCCCAAATCTTATGGAAGGGAACATGGAGTATCCTTGCAGTTGCCGCTACGTCTGCTTTCAATGCATCTGCTTGAATGTTGTCTGGTCCTGCTGCTCTGTACAAATTAGAGTATATTAATTTAGAAATAATTTGTAATATAGAAACTGTAGGTTAGTTTATTGATTTACACTAAACACAATGCCATTTTATTAGGCTTAAACAAACCCTATTTGGTAATATCTAGCTACGAAAATTATTTAATGCGATTCTCGATTAAGACGTTGCATCGGTCTATAAAGTCATTGACTGTTTGAGGACAAACCACAAAATCTTCACGATCAATATTATCTAGGCCAAAGGAAACGACAACAAATGAAGATAAGACGTCATCTACAGAATTAACTATAACGACCGGGTAGAACATTACATAGAATAAAATGGCCACCATCCACGCCTATGTGGAACATCATCTATCTGTTAAACTCCATGGCGTAGCTTCACTTATTCCGATGCTTGCGAACAACTGTGGGCATGTGTTCGATTGAGAAAGCATCGAAATATTGGACGGGGAACCAAATAAGTTTTAGGAACTCAGCACCTCGAACACATCGAAATCAATCCAATCTGTCAGTCAATAAGGGAAAAGCTTAACAATGAGGGCAGAGTTCAGGTGAAGAGTGATAATTATTAAAAGAACACATGAACAACAACTGACCAAACTTTAGGTCAACAAACGAGCTGTTAGTTGATTATGGGAAGATTTTAATAAGCCAATTTTCTTTATGGCATGTGCCGATGATTTTGTCTGAACAGATTACAAAAACTTCGAAATCAAACCATTCATCTAAGATAATATGTCACCTCAGAAAAAATTGTGCCAGTCAGTACTTGAATAGAACTCTTATTGCGTTCAATAACAATTAAACCTTAAAAAATCCCATACTGAATAAATGAAAAAATATCTACATTTAAGGCAAGTAGAGCCTTTAGAATTATTTCATATAAATCTAGAATTGTTATTGTCAAAATGACTTATGTCATTCAAAATTGAATAAGTGGAGATTTTAAAAGTAAAATAACCTCATTCGATTTTCCGCTAACAGAAAAAGCTGATGGAGCATTAGGAAAGGATTTGAACAGCAGTTACTTGAACACCAGTGTATACGTATTACCTAACAGACGGATTGCTTAGATTAGCTCCTTTTGTATCTATCGATTCCACTGCTCCTGTGGAGTAATTTACGTTACCAAGTTTTCTAAGAATTTACACTCGTGTCCTTGAACATCCTTCAGGATGGCTAACCAAATGTATAGTTAAAACTATAAACAGCTCATATTCAATCCATTTGGTTCAGTTAAGTCATAAACCCAGCATAAGTAGTTTTCTATAGTTTGTCATCTTAGTAATTATCCCCTAAAATCCGTCAAACAATAAAAGCAATAGCCATACGGGTTGAAAAAACTGGAGATTTCGGTGCAGAATAATAATCCAATTATGTCTCTTACATGGAACAACTTCATTCCCAGTAGATCGATATTCGTCTTAATTAAAAAATGACCTACTTTGACCGATGTACATATAACCACTCTCTTTTTGCATTTTTGTAATTAGATTTATCATGTGCAAATGTTGTTGTCACATAGTTTTTCTGATCACTACAATGATTAATCTTTTAAGCATAAAGAATCTGATTAGCACTCATCCTCTTTATTATTTGATCTGATTTGTTAAAACGTTATTTTTCTCACCCTATATTGTCTGCACACTTGTTTTAAATGGTGATCTTACGATTTCTGTTAAACTATAAACTTATTGAAGTTACTATTACATAATAGTTTTTTAAAATAGTCTATTGAATTGTTTGTTATAGTAGACTTTGTAGAACTCTGGCTTAATGACAATGGTAGTACAGATTTATTCTATAAGGTTCAAACCCCCACTTCATCTAATTAGGTTTAGATAACAGAGTAATGTCACTATAACTTGTGGAGTACATAAACCTATACATGGTAAGTTTTAAAGAAAAAAGATAAAATATGAAATGGCATATTTAAACTATGCAACGACGATAATATTTCCAGGATAAGATGAATTCGTTATAGTTTGTTACTTTCTGTTCTGCCATAAACAAGATGATATTTTTAATTATTCACAATCGTTAACATAATTTTTAGTATGGGGTTGTGGGGATTGTTGAGATATGAACAAAACAATCACTGAGAACCCGGACAACTGTTTGATCCGAGTGTGGGGATCATCAAAAATACCCATCCAGAATCCTACCACTTAAGATCGAATCCAGATCCTTTGTTATCGTGAACACTGATCTGGAATCCAGTTATATGTAAGTCTAACTTCAACCTGTTATATCCACAGTCCTATTGTTTATACTTGAAAACGAGGAACCAGTACAATTCTCACGATGGGAGGTAAGAACACGGAAGACTGGTACAACGAAGATTTATTGGCTCCAAAAACATGACCAATTTAGAGCGAATATACTCATGTACTGATTTTATATACACTTGATGATTGCTTAATAACATCATATAAATGTCAAGATACATAAGTTTAATATAAACACAAACAAAGTTGACAGAGAATTGTATAAATGTTATCCCACCTAAAGTTCATATCTATCATATTGAACAAAGATTTACACTTAATTAATACGAAACATGTTGACTTGAAATAATATCACATAGAAAATATAAATCTAATATTGTACTGACTAAAATGTGATCAGTCAATCAGCTACAACGTGGGACCAGGCACATATGCATCGGTCCAGATTGTCACACCTCATTAGTACAATAAGATGAACACCAAATTCATGGAAGTAGCTACATCAATGGTAGTAATATATAAAACGAAGATTGTGCATAAGGATATAGTACAAGAAGAAAGAAAGATGTCAAGCAATTTTAATCTCATAATTTGAGGAAACACAAAGAGTGTAAACACTAACGTTATTGTGATCGATTCTGAATCATGTCACCCAGAGTCTCCAACCATTGGTTACGATAGTCAGAATAACATCTTAATGCTATTCTGAGGATAAAACCAGTGTCAACTGTCACTGGAAATGAACTAATATTACACTGAATAAAATTTTTCCTTGAGAATAAGATAATGTCACAGAAATAAAAACTAATGTCAGAAATTTCATACACATAGTTCCCTTTGTTATCTTAAAGAGAGCAAGAACGAAGATTGGTGCAGAATACTATGAATTCACTTTATTTCGTCAGGTTCTCATCAGCTACTTACAACCCAAAATATTTGAAAATCAACGTTACTATTGTTATTGACATACTTATACATACGAGGGTGAATAAAGATGAATATATGTATCATGATGTAACGAAGATAACGATAGAGTTTATAAGGTCATAAAAATCTTTGTTTCGGATAAAGTTTGGGAGAGAAAGTTCCAGAACATTGAAATAGTGATTAGAACTCATGAAGTTAACAAACATTAGATAATTGTGTAATAAAGCAACTAAAAGTAGATTAATGGTAATAAAGATATGAATTGAAATCAGTCATGAATTAAAGAAAAATGATGATGATGTAATTTAAACTTCAGAAAGAGTTGAAATAAGGAATGACGCAATAAACAA